AGCGATGGCCTCCAACCTAATTTAGCGATCTACTAGCGATGGCCTCCAACCGAATAGGGATGCCCGCCAACCTGATAGTGATGGCCTCCAACCTACTAGCGATGGCTTCCAACCTAATAGCGATGGCCTCCAACCCAATAGCGATGGCCTCCAACCTAATAGCGATGGCCTCCACCTAATAGCGATGGCCTCCATCTCAATAGGGATGGCCTCCAACCCTACACTAGCGATGGCCTCCAACCTAATAGCGATGATCCCTGGCTTCACCTGAAGAAACTCTTGAGCCATCGGATCATGAGGCCTCCAGCTGCCAAGCCGAAACCGGCAAGGCGCACTGCCAACAAAGGGAGACATGGATTATCCAAGCCCTCGGTCTACTCGGTCTATCGGTCCATCTATCGTCCATGGGCCAGTGGGCGTGTGGACCTGCAGCGCAACTAATTCTCGGCATTAGTACAAGTTGTGTGATCCCGTGCAACGTGGAGGTTTGCCCCCAAAGCCCGAGCCTGAGCTGGAGAGTGCTCTTGTTCTTTCTGAGATTTCACAGACTTTTGTTCTTCTACATTTGGATCCGGCATGGTGGAGAGATCCAGAGAAATAGAGAGAGACCAAACTAGTCACGGAAGGTGGCCTAGGCTACCTGAGTTTTCCAAGCTTTTACAGCTTTTGTTTTACTGTAAATTGTTTTATATAAAGGCATTCAGAGAGGGTCTTCCTACAATATTTGGCTACCTTCAACAAGCTAACAAGGAACAAGAAACAACAGCAACCCCTACAACCTCCATAGACAACAACAACAACAACAACAACAACAACAACCCATTGGCAATAAGGAAGGCGACAACAGCAGGAACAACCACCAAAATAGGGCCGGGGAAAGGAAGGGAAGCGCAACGAACTAGGAACAAGAAGCCACTAGGGGCTCCTGGCATCGCTACTAGGAGCCAGGACGCTACTAGGGCTCCTGGCCTTACTACTAGGAGCAAGGGGCATCGCTACTAGGGGCTCCTGGCCGTACTATTAGTACTAGCAAGAAGCTACCAGGGGGTAGAACAAAGTCGGGAGCAACAGCAGCAACAGCAACAGGGACAAGAGCGAAAACGATGGCTTGAAGCAGAACCACAACAGCAAGAAGGTTAAGTTTGTCCGAGGTTAAGGCTACTTGAGTAGAGTCAGAAAGTAATAAACCAAGACTGGGTGAAGTACAGTACATTTGAGGAACAGGAGCAACCACAGCAAGCATCAACAACACGACCAGAGTAGAATCGGGAAGTAGGTTGATAGATAAGTGAGTGAACGAGTAAAAGAGTAAGTGAGTGAGTGAGTCAGTGAGTAAGGAGTATTAATTATTGAATGTGAACTAGTAGGCACATAGGCACCCAAGCAAGTAAACAAGCAAGCAATTGAGCTAAGTACGTAATTTAACCAGCACTAAAGAACGACGTAAGCAGCAAACAAGTTAAACATGGACTCACAAGAAAAGTGTGTCGCTAGCTCTGTGAAGACAACCCTGTCAACCTCTCGCTCTGTGTGGACAAAGTTTATCGCCAAAATGTGTCCTTCTTGCTTCTGGATTGTGCCGTGAATGAGGTTAGGCAAACGCAAAGACCGTCACAGCTTTTAAACATGTTTCCAAGGGCGACATTTGTTCAGATTAGTGCTTGAGGTCTTTGAGCATCTTGAGCTGGAGGTCAGCTTCAGCTTGGTCCGGGTCAGAGCGCAAACCCGATGAGATGGTTGACCAACAACTCACCCTCGACTCAATGCCTTCATCAATGTCCAAGTTGAATTGGCTTCTTAAAATGCACGTGCACTGATCGTGAGCTGAAATTCAATAGAAAAGCCTCATTTAAGCAAGAACACCGAACACCTTTGTCACTCTGCCATTCATCATTACAACCAAGCAAATCGGAGTACTCAAAAATGTGCTCACTCCTCACCGTCTAGAAGGTGAAGTGTTTTCCACAAGCATGCCAAACACGATGACACAGTGTTCAAGTTTGGCTTATGCATCTAAATGGAAAGGTTCGTGGCCATATCTGAAAGGTTCCTTTATGCATTCATCTCTTCAGAATTGAGCAAATTTGCTTCACAAATAATGTTTCGTATCGGTCTATCGAGTGCTGGCTCACCTCAAACAGCCCACAATAAGAACACAAGGCATGTTGGCAAAGCAACATTGTCACAGACAAAAGGGTGCATCTCAAGGGTGGAAATTTAATCAAGAAGGCTGCAGTACTAAGAGTAGGCTTCAACAGTCGACCAAATTTAGTTCGTCACTGCAAAAGAGGTTCGTCACTTCGTCACTGATGTATTTCTCGTTTTGTTTAGCACAATTTCGGCACTGACTGCCTACAAAGCAACCCAACAAGTGCCCAGCAATGTGTTTGTTATAATCAATCAGTGCCCCAGGCTGACATGTTTGTCTTCAGCCAGGATGGGCACGCCATTGCGATGGAAACTGCTCAGGATTGGTCTTCCTTTTCGCACCAACTGGGACTTGTCCACACTGCCTTCCTTCCAGAAGCTAGGGGCTATTCCTAGACCTTCTTTTTGCAAACAACACACTTCGTATGCAGAGGTTTGCAGAAGCATCAACAGTTTCAGAAGTCTGTCAGAGACTCTCGAGATTTGGATATGATGCAACTGGTTCAGCTACTAAAGTAAAGCATGCTTTGGGAAGGAAGGACAGGGTCTTTATCTACGTGTGAACTCCCCTCGCATTGACTGCACTGTTGACCATTTGAGCCTGTCGCAACCTCGAGCTGGAAGAAGGGGCTGCAAGTGCACAAGCTAATCATATATTCGGGAAAATTGTTCTAAAGCGAGTTCTTTTTGCTTCGTACTTTGACAGGACCAGTGTGGCGGACCGGAAACCGAAGGGGTTCGCCGAAAAGCTTTTCGATTTGAACTTTTTGTAAGGCCCTTGTTCCTAGTAGCGATGCCCTTTGCTCCTAGAAGCTTCCTTGTTCTTTCGAACCTTTGAGTTCTGTCTAATTTAGTTCTAATTCTGATTGAACTTAATTGCTTATTGTTACTAGTAGCTACTTGCTCCTAGTAGTAAGGCCAGGAGCCCCTAGTAACGTCCTTGCTCCTAGTAGCGATGCCAGGAGCCCCTAGTAGAATCGTATTATATAAGTGTGGTAACACCTGCCTCAAGTGACTATTGCCCAAGTGTTGCAAGCCTGGCTCCCCATTACCACATTAATCCAGTGCATGCTTTCGGCACTATCACTGGGACCTCAACTTGCTTCTTGGCCTCCAGCATTTCTACTACACAACGGCCAAAACTCTTTCCTTCACAAGCTCGTCTACGACTCAGAGAAGGAAGGGGTCCAGGTTTGCTTATTAGACTCATCAGCCAAGTCTGAAACAACCATTCCTCATCTCCAACAAGTCCCATGGCACCTTGTGTGCAAGATCCCCACAATCAGAACACTTCTCTACCTTCTCCTAAATCGAAATATCCTTGACTCTTTGCATGTTCATCATCTCTTTTGCTTCAACCCCTTCACTTCTTGCGTGCATTCGATTGCTCGACCGAAATGTCCAATTGACAACGATTTCGTAGCCGTTTGGGCGTGTAGCCAAGAAGCTGCTGGAATGAATAGGAAAAGAACTCTGGAACGAAGGACATTCGAAAAACAAAGAACGCCTCACCGGCTTCACTGGCTTCACAACGTTTGCCCGACTCCAGGCTCCAACTGTCGACAGTCTGACTCCCCCTCCGGCCATCCATAGGCCATAGTTTTCTTTCTCGTTTTGATTCAAAAAGAAGCCAACAGCACTTTAGCCTTCGCATTTGCTCCAAGCTTTTGGCCTTTTCACAACTGCCCCCTTCAGTTGTACATTGGCATGGTCTCTGGTCTCCTTGTATTGGCCCAAAGCTCGTAACGGAGCAAGACGTTTTACATGCTAAATCCGTTCGTTAACCTTTCAATACCAGTGTTTGCAGTCTCGAATGCACAAGACAATGGCTTTATACTACCACAATTTTTACCAAGGTAGTAGTAGGAGTAGGCGAGGAGTAATAGAGGCGAGAGTACAAGTAGGAGCAGGAGTATTTCATGAGTAGGAGTAGGTGTAGGAAGTAGGAAGTAGGTAGTAGGCAGTAGGCAGTAGGCAGTAGGGAGTAGTAGGAGTAGTAGGAGTAGCAGTCGCAGTCGCAGTCGGAGTCAGAGTCGTAGTCGTAGTCGTAGTCGTAGTAGTAGTAGTAGTAGGAGGAGCAGGAGCAGGAGCAGGAGCAGGAGCAGGAGCAGGAGCAGGAGCAGCAGCAGCAGGACGAATAGTGATGGCGGCGGTGGCAGTTGCCGTGGTGGTGCTGGTTGCTGTCTTTGCCGATCGCTATCCTCAAATCAATCTTTTGCACCAGTTCCCTGTCCAATCCTTCACTGACACTCTTGCTCTTTATTGACTCGAGTTCAGTACGAGCGAGCTTTCAAGTTATAGGGAGGGAGCCGCAAGTCTATTTCATGCTGATTAACTTGAGCCAAGCAAGGCTCTTGAGATAGGTTTCTTGTTGTTATCCATGATGTTGCTTCTCATCAGACGGGAAACTCAACTTGCCAAAGGCAATGCCTCAGCACCAGCAGCCCAAAGTCATGGCTCGGAAGGAAACAATTCCTGACAAGGACAGAAGAACACAAACAAATCAATTTGCTTCTGTGGAGCCGATATCAGAGCCCTCATTGTCTCGATGAGGCTACCTCGGCAGTCAAGACCTTGCCACAATCCAGCGCACAAAGTATTGTTCTGAGAGTCTGGGCCCAAGTATTGTTCTGAGCTATCCATCAAATGGTGACAGGAGGCGAGACAGTGTATTTTAATTTGGAATTCGCTTGTGAACCCACTGCGAAGGAAGGCCTACATTCAGCATTCTGAATTCTGTCACTGCAAGGTTGTTTTTGTAGTGCACAAGCAAAGATGCCCTTATTGTATAGATGCCCCTGTCTAGACCTCACTTTATACAAAGGATCGGATGGTCTTACCAACGATGTACTGTCTTCCGACCACAGTTTGCATGGCTGCAGGAGGTTAAGATCTAAAGAGAGGGGTCAGTGTTGACACAATTTTCACCTGACTTCTTCCAGTGAAGCTCGCGCGATCTTGCGTGAATTTGTAGCCATTAACCCTCGCATAGGGTCCCTACCGAAGGTAACAAGCAAGACATTGTGGATTGCTATAGTTCGCAGGCATTTCTCATTCACGATACTTTGTGCGGGGATTTGTCTTTCTCGCGGGGCTTTGGTTTCCGAACTCGCCATCCCAGTGCTCCTCCTCCTCCTCCTTGCCCTCCTCGTCTTCCTCATTTTCCTTCTCCTCCCGCATGTGTAGGCGTACTTCCATGTCCCCTGGTTCAGATCAAAACGGTGATGAGCACTCACATTATCAAGAGGCTCAATTTCTTACACTCAGGTTGTGATGGTCAACTCACTAGCACTAGCACTTCATTGCTGCCGCCCCACTATTCGAGCTTCGGTTTTGAGGGTTGGAGGTTGTGATCTCTGACGGGCCGCTCACTCATGTGCACGCAAGATCAACGCAGTCACGTGCGCGGGCCAAAGCCATTGGCACTGACCCACGGAGCCATCGGCACATGCGCGTGCACGCGTGGACTCCGAGCGAGGGAATGGGATGCGTTTCTGGTCGGTTGAGTGAGTTGTGGCCCACTGCAGGCAAGGAATGCCCCTCCAGAGTCAGCTCGTGGTTGGCCCAGGAATTCTCGTGTGACAAGCAGTGACAGTGGATTTCATCCAGTTTCAGACACTGAATTTCATGGTGCGCTCTGGATCGCTGCTCAAACTTAGTGCATGTCAGCGGAACCCTGAGTGTGAGCGCGTCTTCCCTCAGCATGAGTATGAAACACGCATCGCCGGTAATAGCGTAGAAGTGATGCACCTAGGACCACCAGCCAGGGTTTCATTGAATAGCATAGGAACAAGGGCATCGCTACTAGGAGCAAGAAGCTACCAGTTTCTTGGAGAAGCATGGAGACTTGGATTCCTCTTCCTGCAGCCTTGCCGTCCGAACCCAAGCATCGAGAGGGGTGCAACCAAAAAGACGGTGAGACAAAGAAGCTCCATCTGGGAGGCAACGACCTCTGCAGCTGAGCAAAGTTATCCAGCGCAAATCCGATTCTTTCTGTTCTTGGTCGAGGCCAAAAACACACGTCACACTGTGATCTCGGGAGATGATGATGCATTCGACGCATGGAGTTGGAACACATGAAAGATGAAGAATGGACTTCATGAACAGGCCATCGAGAATTTGCACCCTCAGTACCTTGCTTTTGGCAAAGCGGCAGGCACAGCCTAATTGTTCAGAAGTAGCGTTGCAGAATCGTGCACCACAAATCTCGCAGGCCACACGTGGAGCTCGACCATTTTAACACGATCTTCCATTTCTTTACTTCCTCTATTTACTTACCTTATGCCTGAGAGTGGTCATCTTTTCTGCAGGTGTATTCAGCCCGCAAATGTATGGCTCCGGTGGAAACTTTCGAAGATGCAGAGGGTATTGACGACACTGACGACAGTGCGGCTGAACAGGACTTTCCAGACCCCTTTGCTGAAAAAAAACGGCGACATATTCGGCCTAGATTCTTCAGGAACGGCGGAGCTTTGAGACCTGTGTCTTGGTAGCAACAATGGTGATTTCATGCTGTCAATGCAAGAGCAGCGAAGAAACACAGGTGTTGGTTCCTATGCTTGGCTTTACGAAGCGCAGGAGATTATTTTGCTTGAAACCTGCGGCCGCCGACCCTGGGTTATTTTCTTCAAGATTCCACCAAATTGGGGTATATAACAACTTCCTTTCATTTGGCAACATTAAATCATGTAGTGAGAAGTAATGTTTTAGGAGGTTCACCGAACCACGGTATGTTTTCTATGTTTTGTTTGATCTGACGCTTGACATATTGCAATTATTGGCAATCACCTTTGAGATCGGCGGGATTTGGAAGGAACAAACAAGAATAACAGGTCCTGTCCAACGACTATGACTAAGCAACCTGGAACATGTCCTTGGGCGGCTGAGTGGCGTTTCCGATACTTTAGTTGGTGTTTTTATTTGGTGTCTTTTGCCACACGTGTGGAACCCAACAACTCCAACACCCTTTTCCCAAGTGCTTGTCTTGCTTTTTGCTTTTGGGCGGAATATTAATAGAACATATGTTTTTTCTTTTTTGGATTGCCCTTCTGATAGTAGCAACCATGCTTCAACCCACTTTCTGGATGAAGTGCCTGTGCTCCACGAAAAGCGTGGACACGGGACCGGGCCCACCCTGGGCCCTTGCACCTCAGGGCAGTTGATCCCAGTCGTCTCAAGCGGCAGAGAGCTCCAGGACTTTGACTGGAGGTCTTTGGCAGGGAGAAGAGAAAGAGCACCCAAGACGACGGTAGCGCTGATCATAGGCGCAAATTGAGCCTTTTAGAATCGATGTTGGTATCGACTGGATACATTGAACAGGACCTCAGCGGGTCTCATGCCATTTATGTAGAGGTGTGCTATGCTGCAATGCTTATGTCTTGGAATAGAACAACACATACACCATGGGTCTGGAGGCCATCGCTAGTAGGTTGGAGGCCATTTGCTTCCAGAAAATTGTTGTGTTCTTCGTGATGTTTAGAGGCGATGTCCCTTTTTTGAGTCGCCAACCTTTGCCACGGTTTTGGGGCTAGGCTACCTGGGCCATAATTTCTTGGGGCTGCAGCAGCCTTGCTTTCGCTCTGGGCTTAGGGAGGATACTGAGGTTTTTGCTGTTGCAAGCTGAGGTCTCAATATTGGTGGAAAACGAACAACATCTTTGCCACAGATATTTTTAAAAACAAGTATATGCTCAGATAGTGGTGACCATGGTGAGTTAGCATGAATTCTGAATATGATGAAAGACTTCAGGTTAACTCACCATTTTCAAAGGTCTCTGAACGTCAGGTGGGACTCAGTTTGCTCATGCTGTTGAGACCGAGCTGGAGCTCGCGCTCCTCAAGGCCAGTCGCCAGCATTTGGTCTTTTTCAGTGCAGAGTTCGATGTAGGCCGGCGCAATGATTCCTGAGAATTTTGGGAACCTTTGCAGGACCTTTTTTTTCTTTTGATTTCCTTTCATTGTCAGAGAGACGAATTGGGCGCTCCAAGTTGAATCAGGCTACGATGGAGCCGCGTTGGTCGGACAGATGCTGGAGCATTCCCCGGCATGGCTTACGAATTGTGGTTATATACCGGGAACGGTTTGAGGGTTATTTCGCAGCATTTTTAAGGCTCACCCAGAAGTATTTGCCAGGTAAGCGCATCATGTCTTGCTGCCATGTCATTGCCGACGGAACATGACATGTTGTATGTGAAAGGGATGCAGGGGCTAACCAGGCAATGTTGTCACCGGCCGCCTCATCGTTGAGAAGGACACGGTGTGCAATTCCTGTCGAGCAAGGCAGCTTTGCCAAACAGTCATTTGTACTTTGCTTGACAATGCTTGAACTCAGTTGCAGCAGTCTCTGACAAGGGGATGATGAGGAACAGCCTGAGGGGGGAGAGCATTGGGGACAAAACAATCAAGCACAATCATTTCGACACATTCAGACGAGCATGTCATACAAACACAGGCACACAGGCACGGCACCAGTGCAACATATTGTCCAACTTTTTTTCCTTTATTCTTGCCATGGGTCTCCAAAGCAGCAGACCGTCACAAGAACCCAAAATTGTCGCTCAAAGCGTTGCCGAGGAGAGGGTCAGACTTGTCTTTTGCCGTGTGAGGCAGGCAAAGTTGGCATTTGCTTCTTCCTGTCAGGATGCAACTACCAAGAAGTTTGAAGGCGCGCTACAATCCAGCGATCAGAGCATGTGCTTTGTTGACGTTTGTCGTGTTTTGACAGATGCACACACACACATAGACACAGACAGACAGACACACACACTGACCCACGCGCGCCGCCCCCAGTCATTCGCGCCAGGACATGCCTGCTGGCTCCTAAGAAAAGCAGACTTGCCTCAAATGGTCTCTGAATGGGCACTTGCAAGCCCGACCCATTGTTACGATGCGTTCCATTCCTTGGCTGCGACCGATCTTACGAACCTCACGATTTGGGGGTTGACTGAAGCGTCTCTAGCTGGAGGTCGAGGTGCTTACATGAAACCAGCTGCAGCTTCCCAGCTGATTGTCATCCTTCTACCTGGTGAAGTGAACACCATACAACGCGTTGCTCGATCCCCTCAAGCAGATCCATCGATGGCAACTGACGTGCTATGTGATTGGATAGTTTCTATGATCCCAAAGCGATGCAAATTCCTGGCCGCTGATGACGTCGTGGTGTTTGGTTTGGACATGGCAAGAGTGAACCGAGTTGTGCTGACTTGAGGGGCAGCGGCATCAGGGCGTGCATTTTTGAAGTCACATCCGTTGAAGCCGCAAAAGCAAACTTTTCCAACTGCGCAGGTGCAGATTTACTCCATTCACAAGGGAATTGGTATATATGTGATTCTAACCAGTAACAAGAAGCTACTAGGTTGGAGGCCATCGCTACTAGTAACAGGAAGCTGGCCCGAGCTCGAAAGGTGGTCTGAATTGAATCGACAGACGGCAGGATGACCAGGCCTTGGATGACCTGGTGGATCGAATCCGAGAGTGCCTTGTCCACAATTTTTGTCTTTGTGCTTTTCATCAATCACTTTCTTTTTAAATCATCAATGACCCTCCAGTCTCCCTTTGCATTTTACAATACTGATTTTTTTGTTCGATGTGTTACTTTGACTCTGGGCTCTTGCTGCTATCAAGGTTTCTGCCTCGGGATGTCAATCCCTCAGAATGGTTGGACAGAACAAATCGATGTCAAGCAAGGGCAATCTTCTTAGGCTTGAGAGTTTTCTTGTTCGATCTCACTAAGTTGGCAATCCATGGTGCAGCCTTTGTGTCGAAACGCTTCAGTGCTCGATGGGCCCCTCGGACGCCTTGTTGGCGGTTTCGCTCCAGTACCCGTTTTGCTCCTGTGTGCTCCAGGAAGGAACTCGACGGGAATACTTGTTTCTCTTGCCAAGTTTCTGTGCACAGAGCTGAGCCTGCATTGTCCAAACAAATCATTTGTGCCTTTCACATGCATTGGAAGTGTGTGTGTGTGTGTCCACCCCTGGACAAAGGGCTCTTTACCACCACCTCGTTTCCACCCAACCTCGGCAGGGGGGCAGTGATCCTTTCAGCAGTCACTGCCTAACAAAGACGCTGCTGATCGGATGTGATATTCAGAGAGGACGCTCTCTGAACGTACCTGCCGAGTTTTTCCACACGCTGTCACCCTACTCTTCCACTTTCTGATTCATGGTTCTTCATGTCTCCCCCCCTAAACAGGTTTCTCTGCCACTTTCAGCAGCCGCGGTTTTTTGCAGCTTGTCGCCGCAGTCAAGGGAAACAACCTTTGTTCAAACACCTACAATTTTCTCGGACTTTTCGCCATGCTGTTCCACCGCCATCCTTCCCATCGTGGTAACTGAGTTAACTGAATACAATTGTCAGAGTGTGTTTCGCTCAGCCGTCCCACTCGGGTGCTGAGTGTGATCCCCGTCACAGGGGCGCTGTTTTTGCATAGGAAATCACTCACCTCAACTTACCACCTACCACTGGATTTCCACTGGAAATCATTGACACATCCATCGAATCAACTGATGCATTGGCCGCCGGGCCCAAACACGGCAGCTTTTCCTCCACGGAATTTTGCAGACTTTTGTAGCGTCTTGCAAGGGTTTTGCATGATTTTGCATGTATTTGCCTTTTGACGTGTGACATGACTTTTCCGCAAGAAGAACTCAAGCCCGCATACCGGAGTTCTCAGATCTAATTCGAGATGCATGACCACACCCTACAACACTTCTACATTTTACATCAAGCTCACCTTCACAGCTTACTTAATGTTAGAGCAGTGCGATTTCCACCACAACTATGACAGACCACACCATTTGCAATCTCAGCTGCGCTATTGCTGCTGCGCCGTGCCATTGAGACGCCTCTACTATACAGCGCTGAAGTTTTACAACAAATACCTTCGACAACATCATGCAATTTCCCTGGCCATATTCCCATGCCACTCCACCACCACTACCTCTTACACAACCACAGCCGACATTACCGCTGCCACAGCCACATACCGCACCAGCCTTTCCGTCACCACATCCCCCGACGTACCCTTTTCCACAGCATCAAGCCTATCCGGCTCCACCTACCATGACTATTCCAACTCCAACCACACTGCCCTATCCTTCACCAGCACCTCCCCCTTCTTACCTAGTACAACAATTGCATCACACACCACCCACCGATCCTACCAGCAACACACCGATCCAGTCGTCTCCAGCACCTCAACAAGCACCTATGGCTCATCATCCTCCCACAGACCCTCAGTGGCCCATGCCCCAGGGGGTTTGGCAACCTTACTCAGCCTTTCCCCCAGTCACACAACCTTCACTTCAACCTTTGCCTCCACCGCCACCACAACCTCCACTGGCCATCGGCGACTCACCACAAGTTCAGCCACCAATCCCACAACCGACACCATTGGCCCCCACAGCACCAGCCCCCCACGTCACCAACTCAGCCACTGGCTCCCACCCATCTCCATCACCCTCCATTGCATCAGCCCCACCAGCTACTGCACCTCCAGAACCTACAACAGACAAGCCAGACACCAGCACCACCACCACCATCCCCACACCCACCTCACAGCAGTCGACGCCACCACCATCACAAAAGCCGGCGCAAGTCTGATCATCACCGTAGCGGCCGCCATCGACGTCGCCGCCGGCATCGACATCACCGCCATACCAAACACCACAGCACCTCCCGGCGACACCGCTCGCCTTCCACCTCCACTTACTCTTACAGTCCCACACCTTCCCGCAGCCGCTCCCGACAACCCATCGACCTGCGACCCAACACAGATGCCTCCACAGCGGACAGCACTAACACTGACCTCTCTCAATACCCAACCACAGCGGTCATCCGTCGACCACCCAACCGCTGGCGACCTCCACCCAACTTTCAAGCTCTCTCACCAAATGAACAACTCCTCGACTGGTTTGAATTTCATGCCAACCAGCTCGACTCCCCCAACCGACCCCAGCACCAATACATTGCCAATCTCCTTTCCGACTGCAACATCACTTACAAAGACATCACCGACTTTCGACAATACGCCCATGTGAAATGGAATGAAACCACTCACCGTTACGATCAGTTCCAATACAACGCCATCTCACTACCTTACCTCAACACCAAAGCCACCACCCCTGAGCCACCAGCGGTTTCCCGTGCCACTTCCACCCACCGGGAGGTTGCACACATCAACGCAGGCCATACAGGCCCAGTCGGCAACATTGCCAACATTTTGCGCCAAGGTCGCTTCCTACCCAGCACACTCCACTTTGCCAATTACCCTGGCTTTTTCGCTCAGGGCATCCGCATCACCCACAATCCACCCCACGACCAAAGCGAGTTCGCTCGCATTATTCACAACACTTGGCAGCTCCACAAAAACACTCACTCACTCATCATTACGCTCCTTGCCTGGGGCGCCGCCACCAGATACACTTCCGGTGGCGAAGAACATGCCATGACCCTCCTCAACGAGCACCACGGCGCCGTCTTCCACCAGAAGGGCAGATGCTGGGTCATTCACCCTGACCATGCCATTGTCAAAGGACTGGCATGGTCCACCAACTCCACTCCACCTGACCTATGACACCACCTTCAACCACCTCCCAACAACTACCACTTCCACTCCTTGTCTCACCCAACTACACTCACCTTCGTCCACAGCAGAAAAAGGCCACTGTTGCGTTCACGCAGTCTTTTCAAGTTTTCAAGTTTTCGTGGTCCTACGTTGCAGAACTTTGCTGTGAACTTTCTACCATGCCTTTCCGATGATGTTTTCAACTTGTGACGGTTCCACTTGCAATGTTGCCTCATAGGTTGTCATGTACTTTTTCTGACGATTTTGGCCCGTGTTTGCTCGCTTAATTCATATGCATGGCCCCGTGATGACGTGCTGCTGCTGGCCAGCTGCCGCATAGCTGCCGTGCCGCGCTGCAGCTGCAATTTGTGACGAACTCCAACTGATTGACCAAACTATCCTCCCACATCATGAGCAGCATCGCCCCACCTCCACAACACGACACCCAAGCTCTCTTACACCAAACGACAGTGGCACTTTCACAAGTTCAAAACCTGCTACGGCAAGCAACTGACATTATGGCACACCTCCACACTCATTTTCTACACCACATCCGCCAAGCGGACCCCACGTTCCGCCAGCAGTTCCAACAGCTACCACCACCACCACCAACTTACTCCATCAACTTACCATCCCCCACTTCCTCCTGCGATTCTGCACCTTCCAGACCACGTGTTCGCCTACCACCACCACCATCCAACAACTCCGACGACACACCTTCACCCACCCCAACCCCACAACCTGCTGCGACCCGCAAGCGAAAGCAGCCACCACCACCACCACTCAACCCACAAGCAGACTGGGATGCATGGGACGGCGACGCCGATTGTCGCCTAGTGGAACTCAAAAGCAATCCCAGACTCCGTCCAAATTGGATTTTTGTCGCTCGACGAGTTGGCTTTTCCGTCGAGCAGTGTCAGGCCCGATGGAAAGAACTAAAAGACCTGCAGCGTCTACAGGACAACCAACTCCCCTCCAAGCCACCACAGGCAGATCCACACCAAGCAGACCTCTCCACACATCTTTTACTTTCCTCTCCCACCCACATTTCACCTACTCCCACCTCACCAGCACATTCACCGCCACCACCCTCGCAACCGGATTTCTCTCCTTCTCCTATGACAACACCTCGGACATCGCCAGCAAAATCACCCACAGACGATGTACCGCTGCTGCCGGCTGCTGAGCGAGCGCCTACTCGGCAGCTATTTCATTTGATTCGTTTCACCCACTCTCTCTCCCCGGCGTGCCGCAGGATAAATCCAGCGGTCTCCTGGCGCAGTTTGCTTTCACACACACGCAGTTTGTTTTGCAACACTGAAGGTTGAGTTTCGTTTGCACTTCTGATCCGTCTTCCATGTTTTTCGTTCCGGTACTTTCCACCACATTTTATTTACCGACTGCAAGGCTCACTACAGCTCCGCAGCTTTTTTGTGTGCCACTTTGCCCTGAACATTCCTACCTGCCTCCATGGCCACCTCTCGCGATCGCACACCAGTCAGCACTACAAACACGGAATACTTCTTGCCAGGCCGACCTCCTAGCTGGCTCCGACCTTCCATTCACACACAACCAGACTTCCAATCTCTCAACTGTTCAATGGACCTCCTTTTCTTGATCACCCAACACATTCGCCCCCACCCACTCCACACAGAGCCAACGCCGGCCCAAACATATTTCCAAGACCAAAGCGCATACAACCTCCTTTACCAGATGCGCAATGACCTGCAGCTGATGGACAGCCTACTTGACAACCTCAGTCATGCTCGACGACTTCTCCAATTCGTCCCCACCGGACCAGGCCTCCCCGGGCAATACCGCATCGACCCTACAGCGCAACTCACCCCCAGCAACATTGCCACCCTCCACAACATACCACCTGGCTTTCCTTTGCCACCAACACTCTCCAGCCGCTCACCTTCTCCAACACCGCGCGCACCTCCACAAGATGCACAACGGTTTCACCACCACTGGACTGGTCCTCCTCCACGTGCCACTCCAAACCTCACCCTCAGCAATGACAACCGAGCCAGAGAGCGGTCCCGATCCCGCGACGCCCATGCTGACTAACTACATCCAGCACTCAGTGCCACAGCAACCTTGCAGCTGATGACCTGCGGCGGCCGCCATGCTCACTCCCTCACTTGAGAACACTCCACCGGCCGCGGTTGCTGATCCGTATCTCAGTCTCACTGACATTCCTCGGCGAGCACAGGCGATAAAAACCTCGCCGCCAGATACTCTGAAAGTTCATGTTCTCTACGTAGGCTCCTCTTTACACTGCAACATTTTACATCTTTTTCCGCAGCCATTTCACTGAACCGGT